CCACAGAACCAAACCACGGCACCACAAAACAACAGACACGTACATCCAGCTGGCGAAGAACCACAGGACCAGAGAACATGCCTCGGCCACCAGCAATGGAGAACACCAATGACACAAAGGGACATTCGTACATTTCAGACATTGCAAATGATCTTGAGAGTGAAACTCCCAATAGTCACATATGTGTTTGTACATGTATCAAAATAACTAGGAAAAATGTATGAAAATAGTGTGTTCACAATGACAGAGACCGTGAAATTCTTCTTCAGGAAGATGAAGCATCATTGAGGATTCAGAAGAGAATGAGACTCCTCATCCTTCATCTCCCCACTTCCCATCCTTTCTAACTGAACTCCGATTTTGTTCACATATTGGTAGCAAAGTGCCCTCTGGAGCGGAATTGGCTGTAGGAGATGAGTCATGGGTGGAGAAATCAAATTCTCCCTTGAGTAACTGGGTTATAGTGGGCAGATGACTCACTTCTGGCCGATGTTTGGATAGGATGTTGGAGAAGTAGGCTTTTAGGTACATTTCTTTCTTGATTAAAAAAAAAAAAAAAGACATGCCAAGAGGAACTCTTATTCCTAATTCTGGATGCATCCGCGTGAAATTCTTACTCCTAATTCTGGATGCACCCGCGCGATGCTTTGATGTCTGGGCTTTGGTGGTGGTCATCTTTGGACAGCAGGGAACAAGGAAGCTGACTGAGGCGAGCTGGCCTTGGGAACAGGCATGAGCCATGAGCTCCAGGACTGCTGCGCGCTCTCTAGATGACAGTGGGCGTCCGGCAGGTGTCTGTGGCGCCCTGTGGAGCGCCCTGGCGTGAGGAGCCACACAGGTGTGGGCCACCAGACCGAGGGCGCCCACGAACACTAGAGAAGTGGGAGAAACACAGCAGAAAACTGGAGACCCAGTCAGAGGTGTTTTGTTGTTGTTGTAGTTATCACACAGGGCACAATGCATAAAGGTTGTCAATGGATCATTTATGTCTCAGTCGTGTTAGCAACATCTGCTCTTCCAAAGACACCATTGAGAACACAAAGACAAATGAGAATTCCAAAGCAAGTTTCAATGATCAGCAAACAACTTTTTTTTTTAAAGCAAACAAAGGCTCTGAAGCCCTGCCAGAGATCTGTGAGGAAGCTGTGTGGATGGGAAGAAAGACAGCTCTGCTTAGTTCCACCAGCGTCGGGGGAAATGCAAAGCAAAGCCACAGTGAGATCCACTGCACTTCCATTACAATGGCTGGAGTTAACGACCATGATCCCTACCGTCCAGGGTGTGGAGGAATTGCAACTCAAGGCAACTAGTTTAGAAAATGGTCAATCAAATGCACACCTACCAGCTTAGTCTATCAGGGTTGCGGTGAGACTGTGAACGGCAAAGCTGAGGTACAGCAGGAATTTACCCCACACACAGGGCCGTGGAGTCTGACTTCAGGGTGGCAGGTCCAGTCCCTGGGGAGGGAGGTCCGCCCCGCCCCGCCCCCACCCCGCCCGCGCGCCCCTTCCTAGACTGCACCTGCTTAGCCGGTGTGAGAAGCAGGCAGGCCTCCTTCCCCAGGACCTCACCAGCTCAGCCCCAACATGCCGCCTGCCAGGTTTCAATGTACCATTTTTTTGTGGAGAGTATAAACATTCAAACTATAGCCTGCACCAGGACCTTGGAATGAATTTCTACTCAGAATATCTACTCTGCAATCAAAGTGGGGACTACTGATGCACCCCCAAAGTTACTGTGCTGAAAGAATTAAGATGTAAGAACCACATTCCATATGGCCCAGGTTGGGGGGGAAAGCAAACCCATCTCCAAAACAACCAGAGCCAAAAGGGCTGAAGGGGTGGCTGAAGAGGATAGCACCCACAGCTAGCAAACGCTGCGCGCGCGCGCGTGTGTGCCCCGCACCCTTCCCCCAAAAGGAGCCTAATTCCTACTCCACTACACACCAACATGTGTCTGTGGTGTGTAACTCTGCAGTGAGGGAGTGAATACAGCCTCTGGACCTTTGATTTTCCTCCCCCAAACCAACAAAGCACTCAACTCATGGAGTGGCAGCCTACAATACTTCTCAGCTCTGTCAAGGTCATAAAAGACAAAGTTGTGAAATACAAGTCTGAGAAATTATTCCCACCAACAACTAACTAAGTAGACCACAATAAAATATGGTGTCTTGGCTGCAATACCAGAGAGGAAAATAGACATTAAGCAAAAACTGAGTACCTGCATAGGTTAGTGGTGTTCCTCAATCGTTACAAAACTAGTCTCTTAATATAAGGTGCTGAGAGGGAAACTTTGTAGACTATTCTACAAAGTAGCTGGGCACCGGTGGCTCACACCTATAATCCTAGCGACTCAGGAGGCTGAGATCTGAGGATCACAGATCGAAGCCAGTTTGGGCAGGAAAGCCTGTGAGACTCTTATCTTCATTAAACTACCAAAAAAGAAAAAAGAGAAAGGAAAAGCTGGAAGTGGAGCTGTGGCTCAAGTGGTAGAACACTAGCATTGAGCAAAAGAACCTTGAGGACAGTGCCCAAGCCCCAGGACTGGCTGGCTGGTGTGTGTGTGTGTGTTTGTGTGTGTGTGTGTGTGTGTGTGTGTGCGCGCACACGCGCGTGCGCACACACACACATGTCTACCAAAAAACTAATCAAGGAAAAAACCCACTGAGATCTTCAATACATGTAGAATACATCATTTTAAGTGTTTAGCCAATGTGAATATTTTAAAACTAATCTATAGTGAAAGAAAGCAGAGAGGTGGCTGTTGGAGCAATGCAGGGGAGAGAGAGCGTGGTGAGGGAATTAAACATCTGCACGATGACTCTTATGGAGAAGGAAATGTGTATCACGTTGCTTGGGTGATGGCATACACATGTTGAAGATACACATGACAACAAATTGTTGTGTATGTTTTCGTCTATGCATCTTGGGCTGGGGACATGGCTTGATTGTGGGCCTGCCTGCCCAGTGTGAGCCTGCAGCCCTGAATTCAAAGCCCGGCATTGGAATAAAACATGTGGCTCGGTGACACATCATACAGTGTAAACAGACAGCTTACTGTGTGACAATCGTGCCCCGATAAAGCTTGCTCCTCCCATCCTCCCCCCCGCCCCGAAACTGAGAGGAAGAAAGTGCTAAGTTTAAGTTTTCTTCTCTAAAAACGGCTTTTATGAATATTTGGAGTTAGTGCCACCACATCTTACTTCAGCCAGTGAATTGTTTTAGTCAGAGATTCAAGCCGGAGGTGTTGGTTTGTGCTGTAACTCCAGCCTTGGGGGGGGGGGGGGCAAGGAGCACTGTCAGATTGAGGCCAGCCTGGGCTGCAAAGTGAGACCCTGGCTCAAAACATAATGTTCGCTTGCGTCTCGGAGATGCTGGTCACCCAGCTTAGGTGTCCTGGAGTAACCAGGACACTCTGCGCCCGTTCTTCTCCTTTCTAATCTTATGGAAATGACCTTGCGAGGTAGTGCGTCTTGAGGGGATGTACAACCAACCAAAAGTAGCCAAATGTAATTTGTCAGATGTCAAATGAGGCCAAGTCAACAACCAGGTCAACTACCTAGCGTCCAAAATTCCATTTGTAAGACGTCCTGAGTTTGGTAAGTTTGGCTCCAAGGCCACTCATCTCTCTAGCCTCTGCCTCCAGGTTTCACACTCTTTCTCTCTAGTGTCTTTGTCCAGGCTAGAGTGGGGGGTGGGGGGACTTCCCTTCTGTCCTCCCCCCCTGGCGTGGGGGAGACTCGGAGCATCTGCAGACAGATGTCTGAAAAGGGATGTTTGAGATGATGCTGGAGGCCCAAGGGCCCAAGGGCAGATTGTTAGTGACTGCTCCTGAAATCCGTCCTGCAATGTTCCTCTATTCAGAGGTGACTTTTTAAAGATATGTTTTTTTACTGTAAAGATACTGTACAGAGGAGTTTCAGTTACATGAGTAATGAGTACATTTCCTATTGAGCATTGTTACCTCCTCCTTTGTTTTTCCCCTACCATCCCTTCCTTCCCCACCTCCCCAACTCCTCCTCCCCCAAGTTGTAATTCCTTTTCAACATAGTACATCTCATTGTTACAAGGGATCAACCTGTATTTCAGCATTTTATTTCCCTTCCCCTCCCCAAATTAGAAAAACGTATATACAAGATGCAGGACACCAGAACCAAATACAGGGGTTATACCATAGGGGGAAGAACATACAAAGAAACAAACAAAAAAAACCCACATAGTATATTATAAATACCTTGAAAACCATAGCAAGAACCCCTATTGGGGTTCATTTCACTTAGTGTCATCTTATATGTTCATATGTACATAGCTTTTGATCTCTTTTGCTTGTCCTAAACATATACTAGTTATTGCAAATAAGGGAAACCATGGGACCTATGTTTCTCTGGACCTGGCTTACTTCACTTAATATAATTTTTTCCAAGTCTTTCCATTTCCTAACAAATGGGGCAATGTCATTCTTTCTGATGGAGGCATAGAATTCCATTGTGTATACATATACACCACATCTTCTTGATCCATTCACCTACTGAAGGGCATCTGGGTTGGTTCCATATCTTAGCCATGGTAAATAATGCTGCAATAAACATGGTTGTGCTGGTAGCTTTAGTGTGGTCTTGTTTGTGATGATTTGGGTAAATGCCCAAAAGTGGGATTGCTGGGTCATAGGGGAGCTCTATGTGGAGTCTTTTGAGGGACTTCCATGCTGCTCTCCAGAGTGGTTGAACAAGTTTGCACTCCCACCAACAATGCAGTAGGGTCCAGAGGCGACTTGTAAAGACACAATGCTCACTACTTCAGGGTGAGAACATTGCCGGGAGGAGGAAGTGTTCAACATCGCTATGGGGTTTTGTGATGAAGTGCCGGGCATGCACCAGGGCCAAAGGAACCTGTCCGGGGCAGGTGTCCGCGGGGAGGTGGTGTGAGACAGCTCCACCCACTGGCGTGTGGGCTCCCGGCAGAGCCGGCAGTCCAGGGCCATCTGGGATCCGTTCATTCTAGCAGGGCAGCCGCCGTCAAGGGTCTCCCAGTGTGGGGAACAGTCACGTGCACGCGAGACTGCGCCACGGCGGCGCGCGGCCCCCGGGGCCGAGCCGACGAGGGGGTGGGAGTCGGCCGGGGACTTGGCTCACCGGTCGGTAATCGGGTAGGAAGGGCGGCGGCGGCGGGTAGAGGGCGCCGGGGCCGGAGCCACCGCGCGTCCCGGCGGCGCGCGCGTCCGGGGCCAGGAGCGGGAGCTGCGGGCCGCCCCGCGGCGGCGGGGGTCGGCGGGAAGCAGCGCGGCCGCGGGTGCGCGCGGCGGAAGGGAGGCCGGCGGGCCCCGGGCGGCCCCGCGGCGCCGGGAGCGTCGGAGGGCACCGCGGTTCCTGGCCTCCCCGGCCGCCGCCGCCCGTGCGGGCTGCGGACGGGCGCCACCCTCTCCTCCACTGTCGGCGGGCGCACCACCGCCACCCTTCCCGCAGGCGGGGCCGCGCGCGCCCGGGCTGGCCGGCGCCGCGCCCCCTCGGAGGCGGAGACCCCGGTCCCGCACTCGGCCCTCCTGCCCCACCGTCGGCCCCTATATCAGCGGCTCCCCGCCCGCGCCCCCTTCCCCTGCTCCCTGGAGCCGGGAGGGAAGGGGCGCCGCGGTCATGACCGAGCCCAAGCCAAAGGACGCCCGCGCCCCGTGCGCGGGGGACGGCGCGCTGGCCCCGGCCGAGGTCGGGGCGCCGCTGCTGGGCGGCGGGGATCGCGCGGTCTTCGCGGGGCCCCAGCCGTCGGACGCCTCCCTGGACGGGCTGCTCTTCCCCGGGCCGTGCGCGGGCCGGGGCCCCGCGGACGCGAAGCTGCCGGGCGCGGACGCGGCGGGCCCGGAGAAGGACGGCCGGCTGCTGGACAGCGTGCTCGACTCGCTCCTGGAGCCGCCGGGCGCGCGCGCCAGCCCGCCCGCCTGCGCCACCACCGGCGCCTGGTGCCTCTTCGGCGCGGGGGGCGCCGAGCTCCCCGACGACCCCCGCGTTCCGGCCCCCAAGGGGGCCCCGGCGCTGCTCGCCAGCCGGCCCGAGACCAGGGCGGGCGCCGCGGGCAAGGGGCCGCCTCGGGGCCCGGCCCCGTCGGCGCGGGCGCTGCTGCTCCCCGCGCCCGGGACCCCGCCGTGGCCCGGCGCGCCCCCCAAGCCACCCGCCGCCGAGGGGGACGAGGAGGACGCCGGACCCGACGGCCCCGGGGGGCCACTGTCCCGGGCCCGAGTGCCGGGGCCCCGGGGCGGCCCCGCGGCGGAGCAGGACGCGGCCCCGCAGCCCGGGCGCGGCCCGCCGGGCGCCGCGGTGCTGGACCTGGTCCCCGTCCCGCTGCCCGTGCTGCCGCTCGGCCACGCGCTCCTGGCGGCGCGCACGCGGCAGCTGCTGGAGGGGGAGGCGCTGGACGGCCCCGGCGACTTCCCGGCCTGCGCCTACCCGCCCGACGCCGACCCCGACCCCAAGGACGACGCGTTCCCGGGCTTCGGCGACTTCCAGGCCGCGGCGCTCAAGATCAAGGAGGAGGAGGAGGGCGGCGCGGACGCGGCGGCGCGCTCCCCGCGCCCGTACCCCGCGCCCGGGGCCGCCGCCTTCGCGGACTTCGCGCCGCCGCCGCGGGCGCCCTCCTGCCGGCCCGGGGACGGCGCGGCGCCCGGCCCCGCCGCCGCCTCGCTGTCGCCCGCGCCCGCCCTGGAGTGCCTCGTCTACAAAGCGCCGGGCGCCGCCGCCCCGCAGGGCCCCTTCGCGCCCGCGCCCTGCAGGCCCGCGGGGCCCGGCGTCGGGGCCGGCGTCGCCGCCTGCCTGCTGCCGCGGGACGGCCTGGCCGCCACCTCCGCCGCCGCCGCCGCGCCCGCGCCCGCGCCCGCGCTCTACCCGCCGCTCGGCCTCGCCCCGGCGCTCGGCTACCCGGCCGCGGCGCTCACGGACGGCCGCCCGCAGCTCTACCCGCCCTATCTCAACTACCTGAGGTGAGGCCCGCGGGCCCCTCGCGCCGCCCGGGCCCTCCGGGGGCCCCCTCCTCCCGCGGGGCGCGGGGTCGCTTCACGAGGCGCGAAGCTTCGGGATTACCTGGTGTCGGTGCGGCGGGGCCGGGCCGGGCCGGGCCGGGCCACCCAGGCGTTGGCGGCAGGCGCCGCGCGCGCGCGGGCGTGGAAGTGGAGCGTCGCGCGCGCGCCCGCTCTGACCCCGGCTCGCCCGCGCGCTCCGAGGACTTCTGAATGTTGCCGAGTCACCAAGGGCGGGGGGCTGGGGGGTCCGTGCGCGAGCCGAGCCGGCGGGGCGAGCCCCCCCTCCCCGGCCCCGGCCCCGGCCCCGCGGCCCCGCCGCGCTCCCGGCCTGCTCGGCCCCGGCCCCGCCGCGCTCCCGGCCTGCTCGGCCCCGGCCCCGCCGCGCTCCCGGCCTGCTCGGCCCCGGCCCCGCCGCGCTCCCGGCCTGCTCGGCCCCGCGGCCCCGCCGCGCTCCCGCCCGCCCGCCTCCGCGGGAAGCGCTCTGCGGGCAGGGCCCGCGCCGTTCACGAGCGCCTGCTGTCGCCCTTCCAGGACGGACTCGGAGGCCGGCCCCAGCCCGCAGTTCAGCCTGGAGTCCTTCCCTCAGAAGATCTGCCTGATCTGCGGGGACGAGGCGTCCGGCTGCCACTATGGCGTCCTCACCTGCGGGAGCTGCAAGGTGTTCTTCAAGAGGGCCATGGAAGGTAGGGCGCCCCCCGAGCGTCATGGAGGGTGGGGTGCTCCCCCGTGCTCCACGGAAGGTAGGGTGCCCCCCCAGTCATGGAGGCTAGGGAGGCCCCCCATGGAAGGCAGCTTCCCCCAGGCTCTGTGGCTGGAGCTCTCCCCAGAGGCCATCCCGTAGTCTATAGGTGGCCGTCGCCCAGGGGGTTTCTATACAGCTTCAAGGACAGGATGGACGTGTAGCAATGCCATTACCATGCACTTGCTCACAATGCATTATAAAATCAAACACCTGCACCTGGCCGATCTTTGGACAGAATCTGCAGGGTTTATTGATAAAATAGTCGCAGGTTCCCCAGGACGGGGATTTTCTCCCGTAGGAGATGAGGTGGTAGTGGCCGGCAGGTACAGAGCAGTGCCTCCTCCCCTGGCCTAGCTCTGTTTCCTGGGAGCACTGCCGTGCTAGGAAAGCAGCAGGCATTGACTGGGCACAGCTGTGCTCAGCCAGCACCTGTCACCCCGCTCTTCCTCTTGGGACACGGCTCTGGGCGGCATTTCCAGTAGTCAGTTGATGCAACCTGGTTGAGTAAGTGTAATGTAGTTAAGTTATTCACAGGACACGAGACCAGAGAGAGGCACTGGCAGGTTTTTAATTGTGTTGGAATATCATCCACGTTCCTATTACTTACCCACGAATTAAGGCCCTCATTACGTTAGTTCATGCATCCCTTCATTCATCGTCTGCCGCCATGTGCAAACACTGAGCGGTGAGGGGTAAGAGCAATGAGAAGAAAGGGGAGAGCGGAACTTTCTAGCTAATTCCATGCATGTCACTGACCACAGAGGTGGCAGGTCATTGGTTGCTGCAGTGCGTGGACAGAGCTGGGCTTCATGTGGGAAGCGATGCCCACAGAGTCAGCGAGACATACTCATCCACAGGCTATGGTGGGAGTCGGGCAGAAAGGAAAACTCTTGTGAATGAAGTATTTCTTCCGGGTGCCACAGATCAGTGGCACAGGTCCCTTCACAGGGCATCAGAGTCAGACAAACATTCAGCTCGTCATCACAGCAGTGTGAGTTGTTTGCCTTTTCTATCTCTCACAGTCCACAAAATCATCCAGTAATCCCTCCGCTATAATTTATTTGATGAGTGGTTGGGCCTTTGAGAAGGCATTTTACCAATCATCCCATTTAATTTACTTTCCGACACAGTCTACCCTTTGGCAGTTTTCCCATGATCCTAAATGTAAACACGTAGATACTGACTAGATTTCTTGTCAAGCTCCATACCCAGGTTTCTTCTCAGTTTACTATTGAGCATGAAGGAGCCATGGCACGGTGACCTGTCAAAGCCACCCTCTGCTATACTGAAAGCTACATAGTGACAGATGGCATTTGGTGTCATGAATTCATCCTTCTGCTCTTGCTCTGGCTTGAGTCCTTGTACTTCTAGTGACTCAAGTGACTCAAGTGATCCAACAATACACTCTCCTTCAAAAAAACAGAAACACTAGCCAGGTGCTGGTGCCTCAGGCCTGTCAACCTAGCTATTCAGGAGGCTGAGAGCTGAGGATCGCAGTTCAAGGCCAGCCAAGGCAAGAAAGTCTGTGAGATTCTTATCTCCAGTAAGTTACTCAGAAAATGCCAGAGGTGATGCTGTGGCATAGGGGGTAGAGTGCTAGCCTTAAGCATAAAGAGACTCAGGGACAGTGCCCAAGCCCCAGTTCAAGCCCCATGACTGTCAAAAAAGAAAAAAGAAAAGAAAGGGGGGAGGACAGAGACACTGCCAATAATGTATAGGTCCTATTTGATCAATAATGCAATTATGTGTGTGTGTGTGGTAGAGGAGGGCTGCTAAGAAAGTGTTCTACCACCTGAACCGTGTGTGTGTGTGTGTGTGTGTGTGTGTGTGTGTGTGTGTGTGTGTGTGTGTGTGGTGTGGTAGAGGAGGATCTACTGCTAGGAAGTGTTCTACCACCTGAGCCATGCCTCCAGCCGTGGACTTTTTTTCAGATAGGGTCTTGTGCTTTTCTTACGCCAGCCTGGGGCTCTGGCCCTGCTGTCTCCAGGTCCCATGTGGCTGGGATTAAAGGCGTGCAGCACCATGCCTGATTCAATAGTGCTCATCTTTTCCTTCCTTTGTGAGTCTCCTGTATCTGCACCTCAATTTTTACCTGTGTGTATATCATGCATGCTTAGGATGTGTTACTCAGTAACCAATACCACGTGCAATGTATGTGTTGCCCTGCTTTTTCATGGATCCCTAAGCGTGTTTGTATTCCTACATGAATTAAGGAATCTGTGACTACAGAGGCAAGCACAGCCGGGCCTACAGCCTCCCCCACAGTCACTGGGTTCTGTTCTAGTCCCGGGTCCACAGCACCTGACTGACGATTCAAGCTGAACTCACGTTTGGGTATTTTGTAGTCCCCAGGAATGTCCGTATATTTTTCTGCATAGAAATGTTTCCTTGTGATGAGTTGTTTTCTATCGTCTTTCTAAAGTACCAATGGTTCTTAATTTTTAAACACAACTTGCCCCCAAAGGGAGGTGATTGGGCCTTGTTTTTATGAGACTCATCAACAGGACAAGTCACCTTGCAGAAAAGAGTCTCTTAGACTCTGAGGAGAGGTAGCTCATCATTGTGCGAGTACCAGAAGCTTCTATGTAGGGAGAAGGACACAGGCCCCCATCAGAAAGAGTCAGCCAGAGCCTGGCTCATGTACTTCCCAGCCTGCAGAAGAGTACGGCAAGGATTTGTACCCGTGTAAGCCAGGCGGCTCGCGGAATTCTGTCCCCATAGCCCCAGTGGACTAAGACAACTGAGTACTCAGAACCTGAGGGCAAACAGTGAGGCCACGTGGTTCACGCTGTGGTCAGGCACAGGTTGTCTGTAAGGTCACGTGGTTCACGCTGTGGTCAGGCACAGGTTGTCTGTAAGGTCACGTGGTTCACGCTGTGGTCAGGCACAGGTTGTCTGTAAGGTCACGTGGCTCACGCTGTGGTCAGGCACAGGTTGTCTGTAAGGTCACGTGGCTCACGCTGTGGTCAGGCACAGGTTGTCTGTAAGGTCACGTGGTTCATGCTGTGGTCAGGCACAGGTTGTCTGTAAGTTCACGTGGTTCATGCTGTGGTCAGGCACAGGTGTCTGTAAGGTCATGTGGTTCATGCTGTGGTCAGGCACAGGTTGTCTGTAAGGTCTTGTGGTACACCCTGTGGTCAGGCACAGGTTGTCTGTAAGGTCATGTGGTTCACGCTGTGGTCAGGCACAGGTTGTGTGTAAGGTCATGTGGTACACCCTGTGGTCAGGCGCAGGTTGTAAGGTCACGTGGTTCACGCTGTGGTCAGGCGCAGGTTGTCTGTAAGGTCACATGGTACACGCTGTGGTCAGGCACAGGTTGTAAGGTCACGTGGTTCACGCTGTGGTCAGGCACAAGTTGTCTGTAAGGTCACATGGTACACGCTGTGGTCAGGTGCAGGTTGTAAGGTCACGTGGTTCACGCTGTGGTCAGGTGCAGGTTGTAAGGTCACATGGTACACGCTGTGGTCAGGCACAGGTTGTCTGTAAGGTCACATGGTACACGCTGTGGTCAGGCGCAGGTTGTCTGTAAGGTCACATGGTACACGCTGTGGTCAGGCACAGGTTGTAAGGTCACGTGGTTCACGCTGTGGTCAGGTGCAGGTTGTAAGGTCACATGGTACACGCTGTGGTCAGGCACAGGTTGTAAGGTCACGTGGTTCACGCTGTGGTCAGGCACAGGTTGTAAGGTCACATGGTACACGCTGTGGTCAGGCACAGGTTGTCTGTAAGGTCATGTGGTACACGCTGTGGTCAGGCACAGGTTGTAAGGTCACATGGTTCATGCTGTGGTCAGGCGCAGGTTGTAAAGTCATGTGGTACATACTGTGGTCAGGCACAGGTTGTCTGTAAGGTCACGTGGTAGGCAGTGTGGGTGGGTGCAGGTTTTCTTAAGGTCACATAGTACACACTGGTCAGGCACAGGTTGTAAGGTCATGTGGTACACACTATGGTCAGGCACACATTGTAAGGTCACATGGTTCACGCTGTGGTCAGGCACAGGTTGTAAGGTCATGTGGTACATGCTGTGGTCAGGCACACGTTGTCTGTAAGGTCACGTGGTACACGCTGTGGTCAGGCACACATTGTCTGTAAGGTCACGTGGTTCACGCTGTGGTCAGGCACAGGTTGTAAGGTCATGTGGTACACGCTGTGATCAGGCTCAGGTTGTCTGTAAGGTCACGTGGCTCACGCTGTGGTCAGGCACAGGTTGTAAGGTCATGTGGTTCATGCTGTGGTCAGGCACAGGTTGTCTAAGGTCACGTGGTTCATGCTGTGGTCAGGCACAGGTTGTCTAAGGTCATGTGGTTCATGCTGTGGTCAGGCACAGGTGTCTGTAAGGTCACATGGTACATGCTGTGGTTGGGCACAGGTTGTCTGTAAGGTCACATGGTACATGCTGTGGTCAGGCACAGGTTGTCTGTAAGGTCACGTGGTACACACTGTGGTCAGGCTCAGGTTGTAAGATCACGTGGTTCACGCTGTGGTCAGGCACAGGTTGTAAGGTCACATGGTTCATGCTGTGGTCAGGCACAGGTTGTGTGTAAGGTCACATGGTTCATGCTGTGGTCAGGCACAGGTTGTGTGTAAGGTCACGTGGTACATGCTGTGGTTGGGTGCAGGTTGTAAGGTCACGTGGTACACTCTGGTCAGGCTCAGGTTGTCTGTAAGGTCACGTGGTTCACGCTGTGGTCAGGCACAGGTTGTAAGGTCACGTGGTTCATGCTGTGGTCAGGCACAGGTTGTCTAAGGTCACGTGGTTCACGCTGTGGTCAGGCACAGGTTGTAAGGTCATGTGGTTCATGCTGTGGTCAGGCACAGGTGTCTGTAAGGTCACATGGTACATGCTGTGGTTGAGCACAGGTTGTCTGTAAGGTCACGTGGTACACACTGTGGTCAGGCTCAGGTTGTAAGGTCACGTGGTTTACGCTGTGGTCAGGCACA